CTACATGTGGAGTCAGCATAGCTGGGATTTGGCAAGAAACATGCCAAGGGGTGTGCAGGAGAGTCCCTTGGGGTTGCATCGGGGGCAAACAAGAACTAAAGAGGGATGGAGATCCCAGGTGAGTGGATCTGCTGAGCTGCTTCCTGGGGGACCACTATCAGGGAGGAGACCTTCAGCAGAGATGACTCCTAGAAACAGCAGAGGTCTTGGGTCTTCTATATGTGTGTGAAGGTGCGTGCGTGCATGCAAATGGAGGCCAGGACAACCTCTTGTGTCATTCCTCAGGAATACCAACCACCTTTCCCTCAAGACGCTGTCTCTCGTCTCTCACTGGTTTGGAGCTCACAATCCATCTATTCGAACACACACGCACACACACACACAGGAATTATAAGTGCATGGCATCAAATTTAACCTTTTTTTTTTTCTTTTCTTTTTTCTTTTGTGGGTTTTTACATGAGTTCTAGGGATAAAACTTATGTACTCAAGCTTGCAAAGTTGACTGAGTTAGTAAACATTCTATGGTCCCTAACTGATTTTTCTTTAAATACTGTTTGTTAATGAACACCACTATCAAGGACACAGGCCTAAGAGTTCTCTTACACACTGCTGGTGAGAATATAAAGTAGTCAGTCACTATGGAAGTCAGTGTGGAGGGTTCACAAATAACTAACAACTGTCTTCCACATGATGCAGCCATGGCCTTCCTCGGTGTTTACCTGGAGGACTCTAGGTCGACACATCACAGACACACGTGCACATTAATAGTCAAGTCATGCAACCAATCTAGGTGTCCATCCACAGAGGAATGGACGAGGAAAATGTGCCATGCATACACAATGGGATTATTTTCACTCATGAAAGGAGGGCCGTGTTAGCTGAAGGATAATGGGTACAAGTGGAGATAAGTGAATTAAGCCAATCTTGGAAAGGCAAATACTATATGCATAAAATCATGTGTGCATATATGACATGGAAGTGGAGGTAAAATTGTCACAGGGGACTAGAGGGACAAGGGGATGAGTGGTAGGGGAGGGCACACATCAAATACAGACATACTGACACAATTATTTGTGATTTGAAAAGTTTACATACGTTTCCATGTAAAGCTTCATATTCCTTAAATTGGCCAGAGGTAAACACCTTGGCAGTCCAAATTTAGTTTGTCCACATGTAATGTGATGGCAGAGAACACTCGATGTCAATTTTGTTTTAGTTTGCCTTAATTATTGAATATTTGTCAAGCGTGTCTTTGTTTCAAGAAAATCTTGAATTGAGCTAAGTAAAAGTAATCCTTTGTACAGCTCTATAACTCAGTAGTGAGTGTGGGCATAGAGCACATGGCCATCACCTGCCTTTTCTGTTTCAGCCATCTGTGTGCTTTCTGAGTGATTGTAGTAACAATATCCATCCTTCCTCTCCCTGGAGCCTTCCTCAGAAAGCCAAACACACATAATTTCCATACATATCATGTGGCCAAATGGAGCAAAAAGGAATCATCAGTTTCGCCTTTCAGCATGTCAGAAAACTTGGCTTTTTAAATTTTTCCTGTGCCTGTGCCTGTGCATGTGGGTGCCCTTGGGAGCCAGAAGGGGGTGCCAGGTCCCATGAAACTGAAGTTACAAGAGGTCATGAGCCCCCATGTACACCAAATTCCTGTGTTTCTCAAGAGTAGCATGTCCTCTTAACCACTAAGACATCTCTCTAGCCCCTGGGTGTTTTGTTGTTGAATTCACGTATCTAGAGCTTCACATCAGACAGAAGCTCTAGCTGAAATTTATCAGCAGATGTAATAGATCTGTAAATATCCATAACCTGAGTCAAATCTTTTAGGTTGGTTGACATTTCTTTGCAAGCTTGAACGTCCTTTGAAATAAAGTAGATCCATGGGTTGTTCCTCTGTCAAACGACTCACCTGAAACTAAGAAAAAGGGATTGCAACTGAAAAGCTTTCCAGCCAATTGATCTTTAGTATTGTTGAAAAGTTTTGTCTTATACGGGCAATGCTTTGGTGTTTTAATTAAAGATTTTTCACTTTAGTGAATCATCTTGGTCTTTCATAATTTTCTAGCAAAAAAATTCTACAGCTGAACTAATTTTTTTATATTCTTTCCAGCTCAAGTCATTTTATGTTAAGTGACTATCTGAGCCATTTTATTGCTTGTCAAAGTTACAACACCCAAGTCCTATAAAACATCACCTACAAATCAGAGCCAGGCCTGTCATACCTGGGAGGCTGAAGGAGGATTGAAAGTTCAAACCCACAGGGGGAAAGAATGCTTGCCACGAAGCCTGATGACCTGAGTTTATTCACTGGGACCCACTCCTGCAAGTTGTTATCTGACCTCTACAAGTGTGCTATTGTAACACACACACACACACACACACACACACTTTTAAAAAAAATAGCTGGGCGGTGGTAGCACACACCTTTAATCCCAGCACTCAGAGGCAGAGGCAGGTGGATCTCTGTGAGTTTGAGGCCAGCCTGGTCTATGAAGCAAGTTCCAGGACAGAGAAACCCTGTCTCTAGAAACCAAATAATAATAATAATAGTAGTAAAATAATAATTATTATTATTTTGAGGCCTGACTGGGTAACTTTATGAGACTTTGTCTTATAATAAAAAAGTAAAGGCAGGCATGCTAGCAGAAACTATTAGTGCCAGCATTTGGGAAGCAGAAACATGCATCATTGTGAGTTTGAGGCCAACCTGGTCTACGTAGAGAGCACCAGAACAGCCATCCTTCAAATAAATGATCTGCTGTCTTCAATAGTTTAAAATGTGTAGTGTGAATTCTAATTGGTCTTAATAGTAAAAACCCAAAGTCAAATATCAGGGTAAATGCTGAAAAATCAGAGAAGTAAAGGAGCCAGACACTAGTTCTTACCTCTACAAAATCCTCAGACCAAAACAGGGTCAAGCTCTGTCTCCTCCCACCTTATATTCCTCTTTCTATCCAGCCATATCTCTTCTGTCTCCACCTCCTTAGTTTTGGAACTAAAGGCACTTACACTGAATATGTGTTGTTCTCGTTGGTTGATAAATAAAGCTGCTTTGGCCTATGGCAGAGCAGAATATAGCCAGGTAGGAAATCCAAGCAGATACAGGGAGAAAGAAAGTGGAGTCAGGAGAAGGTGCCAGCAGTCACTGAGGAAGCAAGACATGTAGGAAGTGAGGTAATGGCAAGGCCAAATGGCAATACATAGATTAATAGGAATGGGTTAATTTAAATGTAAGAGCTAGCTATTAATAAGCCTGAGCCATTAGCCCAACACTTATAATTAATATTAAGCCTCGCAGTGATTATTTTATGTGACTTCTGGACTGGTGGGCAGAACAGAAACCTCCGATTACAAAAATGCAGACTCATGAAAGATCTGACACTCTCTGTGTTGTCTCATTGGCTATAAGGGGATCAACAGGAGAATGAGTATCTGATAGATATCTTTCAGTCCAGGAAAGAACTTCCCAAAACTTCTAACTGTGCTTCTGTAGAAGTCACTGGGGAAATGCTACCAGCCTAGTGTGAAAAGTGGTCTGCAGCTGTCCTCAGTGTGCCTTCCTCCCAAAACACTTCCGCAGCTACAGGGCCTCCACAGTTCAGACCTATACGCCAGCCTCGAAGCTACCTGCCCAGAACAGGGTATAGTGTTCAGTTTACTGTGAACCTTGTCTGAACCAGCCTGAAGAACAGATACCAAACTTCATTAGCTTGGCTGCAGCCACGGCTTATTTTAAAAGAAATGGTGCTTTCAAAAGTTAAATTCAAAAGTCACTGTAGGTAAGAGGAGACTTGCATGACCAATTAAGTCACTGGAAGGTGACATTGTGCGGGCCCACATTCATGTTTACAGTTCACTGTACAGCACCCAGCTACTGGCAGGCCAACATGAATTTGGCGAATCTATTTGTTAATGAAAAAATGCACGGGGTGTATTGTTAATGAAAGAATAAATGCACCGGGTGCAAGTCAGAGGCCTCTATGATTGACAGTTTTGAGGTAGGCCCAGCTTTAAAGACTTTTTTGTCTTTATTGAGAGGGCCTCCATCACGCTTCAGTAATTAAGGACATGTTCCAACAAACAAAGCCATCCGTCGAGCTGTAGAGTTGTTGGTCCTCCTGGATAGAATAATTTTGTGCAGGCTTAAGTTATCTCCCAAATCTGTACTGAGAACACAAACAAAATATGTATGTGGGAGGGACTAGAGAGAGGACTCCAGCTGGAATCCCAGGGCCAATGTCAGGGCTCACAACCTCCTGCTAACTCCAACTCCAAGGGACCCCATGCCTCTTCTGGCCTCTCTAGTGACACTGCACTCACCATGTATATATGTAATTACTAATAAAAAAAATCTTCTTTAAATGTGTATTGAAATATTGAAAACCCCAACAAGCAAATAATTTCATGTAATCATACAAAAATCAAAATTAACTAAAAAAGAATCCATGATAACAATTTAGATTAAAAAAACATGATCAGCAACAGTCTGCTCCGAGGAACCACTTTCAGCCTGACCAAAAAAGGGGGAGAGGAGAAAGGGGGTACTATTTGGATAATTTTCTCATCGAGTCTTGTTCTGTTGCTTTCTTTGTTTAACGGATCGTCCTGAAATATTGTCTTGCTTTCTGGAATTTTGTGGTGCACCCCAGAGTTTTGCCCCAGAGGCAAACAAGTGCCCCATCCTTGCCCCCCTCATCCTGCAGGAAGGGAGGCTGGGAGCAGTGAAAGATACAGAGGTTCACGTCCAGGATAAATGCTGCTATAGAAACCAGGAAACTCACCAAATCTCGCGAGAAGACACTTATACACCTAGCCAGCCAATCCAAGCCTGCAGCTCCTTCCCGCGCTTTCGGGCCAATCAAGCCAATCATGGTGCAGGCCTGATCACACAGGCCAATAGGAGCGCTCCTCGAGCGGTGGGCGGGCCTCCGGCAGCCGTTACCAGACAAGCTCAGGGCTCTACTCGTTAGGAAGCAGAGTAGGAGGTAAGGGCGACCAGGGGGAGAGGTGTGACAGCAGGGACAGGACGACACTCACGGTGAGCCCAACATGGAAGTGAGACTCCCGGGCAGGGCGGGTTGGGAGCTGATCGGTTCTGAGCTGTCCAGCCCGAGACCTGGACCCAGTTGTGCTTGTGATCCCACCATCACACTAGTTTGCTCTTGAGCTCATTCTTGCAACGGTTTCGTTGTTTTTTGTTGTTTTGTTTTTTTGTTTTTCGAGACAAGTTTTCTCTCTAGCCCTGGCTGTCCTGGAACTTGCTTTGTAAACCACAGAGATACACCTGTCTCTGCCTCCTGAGGGCTGGAATCAAAGACTTGCACCACCACCACCAACCGGCAGTTTCGTTGTTTTATAAGATGAAGTGATCGATCGGCTTGCAGACAAAGATCACTTGGTGCCTAAATGAGCTAGTCCTTGGGACCATTCATTTATTGCTTTATGTTGCTTGCCATTTCCTGGCTTTCTAAAGTTTAAACATTGCAAGTTTTAGGGTTCTGATCCCAGATAGTTAATGAGTATTTTACGTGAAGCCTTTCCAGATAACAAATTACAGGTTCAACGGTGTTCAAATTTTCCTAGCCAGAAAGGATCCAGACTGTTCTGGGTGTCACTGTAATGACTGCCTTCGGATTCCTGATGTCCTTACCCAGTCTCATAGTGTGTGGAATTCTAGGTGTGAGTTGATTGGGAAAACATCAAACACGACTAGAAAGGTTTTTGTTGTTGGTGTTGTTTTTAATTTTAGAAAAGAAGGGGATATTGGAAACTAGATTTGTTACTTGCAAGAAAGTATAAAAAGAAGCTTTGTATAGAATGCCTGGAGATGCTGTGCTACTGGATATTGGGGATCTGAACTTAGATCCTTAGGCTTGTAGCAAGCATGTTACCTTCTCAACCGCTTGTTTGTTTTCCATAACTGTACAGTTTGTTTAGGAAACAATTTCTGTCTAGACTTGACAGCAGGCCCAAAGTAGTCTTTGAGATTATTGTCCAGGCTGTGGTGGTTAAATAATAACCCTCATTGTTCCTATGTTTGAATACTTAATCACCAGGAAATAAAACACTTCAGTAGGATTAGGGGGTGTGGTTTTCTTTGAGGAAGCATGTCATTCGGGGTGTGCTTTGAGGTTTCAAAAGCCCATGCCAGGAGCAGACTCACTCTCTTCCTGCTGCCCATGAGTCAGGATGCAGAATTCTCAGCTTCTGTCTGCATGCTTCCTGCTGTGACAATGAGCTAAGCCTCTGAAAGTGTGAGCAAGCTCCCAGCTAAATGTTTTCTTTTATAAGGGTTTCCTTGGTCATGATGTCTCTTCACAGCGATAGAACAGTGACTGAGATGCCTGCCCTTTTTATATTTCATGCACTGTCGGAATTTAAAAACAGGGTTTTTTGTGTGTGATTCAGGCTCTTAAAACAGTTATTCAAAAAAGCTGGAGATGTTGATGAGTTGATAGTATTTACCCAAAGCCCTGGGTTTAATCCGCAACACTCCATAAGTCAGATATGGTGGCATGTCCTATAATTTCAATACTTGAGAGTTTGGAGACAGGTGAGCCAGCCATTCAAGCTCATCCTTGGCCACATAGTGAATTTGAGGCCAGTTTGGGATACATGTCCTACCTGTTTTAATGTTTATTGGCTCAGATAGTAGAATCTTTGGCCCTAACTGCTGCTTTGTTTATTTCTAAGTTTTTTTTTTTTTTTTTTTAACTCTGTGTCAGGTATACTAACAGTTCAATGTTGTACCTTTTTCTAGAATGTACATCTTTGAACTATGCAGGCCACTGCAGTAGTAGAAACCAATTCTGATAAAAACTACCAGAAAAATGGAGGAGACCTCCAAAAAGGTGAGGGGCCAAGGTTCAGATAAACAAAAGTTTCCATTCAGGGTTGCTGTTTTAAAGCCTCACCCAGCAAGATGGTACAATTCAGCACACTGTTAACTTTGTCAAGTCTTTCGTGAGTTTGTGGTAGCTGTGGGCAAACTGCTTTTATAATTATATAGTAGGAAAGTCCATGGAAGACCCACCTGTTTGACTAATCTGTTAAAATTTTGATATAAGCCAGCATATATATTAATTCACTATAAGCATAAAATGAAATAGTGTCCCTCTGTGAGTCTCTGTATCTTTTGCAGCTGAGCATTAATCTGTACCTTTTATCAGTGACCTCAGATCACTTGCCGTGGCTTAACTCCATCTTCCTCCTCCCTGTCCTACATTGCCCTCCCTCCTCTGCACCTGCTCTTCATGGCAGGCCCTCTCTTTAGGGCTAAATATTCCCGTTCAGATGCAGTGCCCAGTAAGTCTTAGGTGGTACTTAAGCATGGAGTGGCCAGTCAGTGGCTCTTGAAATAAAGTGAGCTAATTGTGCTTTTTAGTAAAATGAAATAGAAAATCCCAGAATGTATTGCTCCAAGAATTATTACTGTTTTAGAAGCTTTAGGTTCACTTCTATGATGTGTCTGTTATTTAATACTCTCTCTAGTCGTACTTTTGCGCTCTTGATCTGCCTGCCTTCACTCTCCAAGCTTCTTAAGGCGCTTTTCACAGCTCAATCCCAGTCACCCTTTTAAAGGGCTTACAGTGGCTTTCCCATCCCTTAGGATAAGAGCCAGGGTCCTAAGCAGTTCCCCACACTTCTCTCAGGCATCTCTTCCACTCCATGCAGGCTGGCCTAGTTCCTGCAAGGGCATGCTCGTTCACGTAGCCAGCGGCACTTGTTGGATTTATCTAAGACAAATTAGTCTGTTTTGTTCAAAACCACTTGCCAAAGGTAAGGTTTTTCCCAAAGTGCCCCTCCTCTCTCCTCAAGTTTCCCTGTTCCATTAGCACAATGGTCAGAACGTCTCCTTTAGCTGTGGTGTCTTTCTGTGTGTTTGTCTATAACCCTTAGGAAAGCCATAAGCTGTGGGGGCAGCACTGGTGTCCTCTTGCCTTCATCTATGCCCTGACCAACCCAGCAGATCCCCCAAGTTTATTAAATGATGCTACTTTTTAAAAGTTCTTATTAGACCTGTCCACAAGTAAAGTGGCTGCCCTATAGAGGAAAGACTTCTCATCACGGAAAGAGTTTAGGAAGGCTCTTGACACTTACATCAACTTGGATAGTTATAGCAAAGCACCATTGCTTAAGTGGCTTAAACAGCTTCAGAGTATTTTCTCATAGTTCTGGGGTTGGAAGTTCGGGTTGAGATGCCAGGATGGAGATTCTCCTGAGGTATCTCGTCCTAGCTGGTAAATGGTTCATATTTTATCTTCCGATGGCATATGGCGTGAAGCACTCTGCTGCATTTTAAGGAGGAGCAACTCTATCAAGAGGGCCCTGCAGTCATGATCACTAAAGGGCCAGCTTTAATAATCATCACAATGGTTGTTACAAGGGCTATTTGTGTTTGTCATCAATGATGTAAAAGTAGCCCAGCATTTGGGGGAGTTAGGAGCAGATTATATCTAGTTTTTTTCAATGTTTAGTTTCTATGATGTTGATAACATATTCTCTTTTACTTTTTTTGAACAGATAAACCTTATAACCCTAAGAAAGAAAACAGGTTACTTTCCAGTGGTTGCAACGAAGTCCAGCTAACTTTTCCTGATGGTGGATGGGATTCCTTGGCAGCCGAACAAGGAGTTAGTGACAAAGAAATCAACAGCATTGACAAGATGGATTTATCAGAACCATCCTCAGTAAATCAAGACACTAATGCAGAGAATATTTTCTCTCAGTCAAGTGAGTTTGAAGACAGTATTGACTATGCTTTTTTGAATGAGACCTACTCTATACATTGCTCAGAATCAAAACTCCAGAATGAAAATCTTCCACAGTTATATTCAGAGTTACAACCTGAAATGCCCAAACAGGCAGAGGCTTTTTTTGGCATTTTAGGACCTCAAGATAATAATAGTGTTGGATTGCAGAGCAGCCGTGCGGTTTCAGGTGGAGACCATGGTGACATGCACAAGAGTGACATAGACGATGATTCACAGCAGGAGTACCACAGTGCTGAGCAGGAGTGCATCAGTGCCCACTTACCCTGTGACCCAGCTAAAACAGTAAGCGAATCGAGGCTGGAGGAGAGCGAGTCGGAGACAGCAGGCTATGGCAGTAAGTCTGTTGGCAATTTAGAAGATAATTATGTTAAATTAGAGAGTGGTCCTAGCCCCTCTGTGGAGTCACTTAATATTTTAGCACAAAAATGTTCACCTCATTCCTCTAAATCTCAGAGTTCTGACACGTTAAAACAATATCATGAACCAAAATTTGAAAAGTGTAAGGAACAAGAGGTTGGTTTACTAAACCGTAAAGCGTTTGATGACATTTTACAGAGAAGCAGCTCTCCCTTGAGCCCTCAGAAAGTACCCCAAACTAAAATGTTTGCTAAAGAAATGAAACCTCAGACAATTGAAAGTAAAGATTTTTGTGGAAATGGAATTTTCCAGAACAAAACATTACAGCACCATGAGAACCCTGTCTCGTTTCACCAAGACCAAGCCCTTGGGACACAACTGAAGGCTAATAACAGTCCTCTCGAGACTTCTGGGACTTCCATTTTTGATGACTCGGTCATTTCTCTCTGTGGCTCTTTGCAATACAAAAGCCTCCCGGATCCAGGCTTTTTTTCTCCTGTGTTACCAAAGATGGCAGCCACGGAGAATCAGGCAGAAGTGGAGGACAGCTGCCTGCACTGTGTAAAAAGCGGTGCCACAAATAAAACATGCTCTCCTGATGTGAAAGAACCATGTCTTAAGCTAGAGTCAGATGCCACGATTCAGCAGACACTGGATGTGAGCAGAGGGGCAAATGCAAGGTCTTCTGTCATGTCTACATCAAGCAACACAGAGATAACAATGATGAGAAAACATCAGCCTGATGAGCGGCAAAGTGAGAGACAAAGTGTGGCCTGTAATACAGACTGGTCGTGCAGACAGGATTGCAGAGATGCAGAGATGACTGTACCAAAAGAATCAGGAAAGTCGCTCTCAGGGGACTGTTTAAAGCCTAATGGGATTTCCATGAATGAGGTAAAGTCAATAATATCCAAATTTTCATCTACACATCTTAGAAGTTATGCAGATGTGGTTGGCTCATTTGGAGTCTTGGTGAGCAAATGCTAGCTCAAGGGAAAGGGTGGCAGGATGCCACAGCTCTGTCTTCTGGCAGCAGGCATGGTCCACAAAATTGTTTCAAGGTCTGGTCTAACATTTTACCCTTTTGAAACTGTGTATAACATTCATTTCGTCATATAATTTTATTTTATATTGTTTTCAGAAATCCTTGGAACTTAGAAAAACATTTAATGGCACAGACAAAAAGAAACATCCTGAAAGGTAGGTCAGCTGTACAAGCTCACACATGAATTTATTTTCTGTGTAGTGTATTCAACCATGTAGAATTAAAGGGGCTGTAATGAAGTTTACATTTTGGCCATTTCAGCAGACACACTAGCAGTATGGGGTTAGAGATCGTCATGAAGAGCCTGCAGTTTCTTGAAACAGAAAGACATCATCTTCCTTCACCCAAGCTACAGCCATACTGATTCGGTTTTCTTTTTCTTCCTTTTGAATCACCCAGAGATTAAACAAACTAGCATCTTAGGGAAAATGCCACATATTTGAAGAGATAAACAGATACACTCACTGAAGTATTGTTAAATGTAAGCCTATTCATCATTGGATTTTCTTTGCATTTATTAATATTCCAAAAGGCATTTGGGAGTGGAATAAATGAGAGTTACATACATTACCATACTCTGAAATCATGTGTCTTTTTTATTTTTCATTTTTCTAAAGAGTTTAGTCTGTATCCCAAAACTATAAAACTAAATTTATAAATTAAACATCCAAAACAGTTTATAGCTATAGCTTCCCCTTTATAGGAGAAATTGAATTAAACTACAGGGAAATATAAGAAAGATAAAATCTGGACAGATATGGTGGCACACACACTCAGGAGGCTGAGGCAGGCAAATCTCTGAGTTCAAGGTCAGCCTGGTCTGCAGAGTGAGTTCCAGGACAGCCAGGACTATTCAGAGAAGCCCTGTCTCAGTAAAACCTAAAATCTGTTTCTAGAAAGAAGTCTGTCACTGCTGTAGACTATGTTCGGAATCTTACCTAACCCTGTCTTTCCCTTTAAAGGGCATGCCAGCGTCATGAGGAGATGAATCTGCCATCCAGGTGCTGTGAGAGAAGTGTTGAGAGGGCAGTGAAGGCGGAGATGCACCTGTTGGATGTTTGCTACCAGATGTGCCATCGCCACTGTAGTCACATTTACAAACTTGTAATGGAAAGTAGAGCAGGAGTCAATAGGTGTTCATCAATTTTAAATCCAGATTTTCTTAAACGTTATCGCTATGACTTTATTCTAGAAATCTGTTTTCAGTTTTTGAAAGACAAAACATAGGCTATATTGGGTTTATCAGTTGCCTTGAGAGTAGTAAACTTAGGGCGGGAGAGATGGTTCAGCCATTAAAGGCTAGGCTCAAAGCCAAAAATATAGGAGTAATAAACTTCAAAAGAACTTCTTTCCCTGGGTGTGGGTGTAATCCCAGTACTTGGGAGGCAGGGGCAAGGGCATGACTCAATTAGAGGCCAGCCTTGCATACCTAGTGAGTTTCAGACCAGCCAGGGCTACATTTTGAGATTCGTTTAAAAAAATAAACAACACAATTCTATGTTGTGGTGAGGTAATTAATCCAGTAAAATAAATGAGTTTGCTGTTTGCTCATAGAGTCCAAGTAAGGGTCAAGGCAGTTGGAGTTTCTGCATGGTATTGTGTCATATCTATCAGTGGTTGCTAATATCCACCCTAGAAAATGTATCTATTTTGGTTCGTTTGACAGGTAAAATCAAAGACCTGGTAGAGCTAGAACTAAGTATGTGATACCATGTTGGTGTTAGGTGAATGGCTTGAGCCTAAATAATGTAGTTCTGTGAATTTTGAACAGGAATTTACCAAGTAATTCTGCTAAGAAGGAATTAGGATCAACACTGCTGTCTGTTCTGGGAGACTTGAAAGTTAGGTACATGAACTTGAAAGAAAAAGTCCACAAGGGCATTCCACTGGAAGAGCTGCCTCCCCTGTCAATGGAGTCCAAACTGTTATCTGCCTTCGCCGATTTTGCTTCCAGGGTATGTGTGTATATCCTCGCATAAAATGTTAACTTTGTTCAGACAGAAAACATACTAAATCTGTTTTCCCCCTTGTTTCTAGCTAATGGAAGAAGAGGCATGTGGGTAATTATAGTTTTATCTAACATAGAATTTATGTGCTTTAAAAACTACTTAAGCCATACATCTAAATTTTCTGCTTTGTTTCCTTTTGAGAACATTTAAGGAACGTTTATCTATTCAGCCTTACAGGAGCAGATTCTGAGCTGGGTAATCAAAGCGTACCTGATGTTGATGCTTCCCCGAGCCTACAGAAGGAGTTGTCCCAGGTAAGAGAGCGGGTCCCATGTTTGCGTGTCCATGTGCATGCATGTGTGTGCACATGCATGTGGAGGCCAGACCTCATCCTTGGGTAGAGCACATGGGAGCCACCCAGCTGTGCATTCGTGCAGGTGGGGTCAGAGGACACACGTCACAGCTGACATGTTCCAGGGCTGCTCGTGTGTGTGGAGGTCAGAAGACAAGCTCTTGTGTCAGTCCTCAGCCTCCACCAGAGACTGGGTCTCTGGCTCACCGCTGCATTATGCTAGGCTAGCTGGCCTGAAAACTTGCAGGCCGTCCTCTGGTCTCCATCTTTGTCCCCCAGCAGGGGATCTGGGTTACAGATCTGTTCTACTTGCTTGGCTTTTTACGAGGTTTTGGGTATGTCCTCAGTGCAGTGCTGGGACTACAACTCTGCCCCCATGCCCAGCTTTACATGACTGAAAGCATGATCAAATCATTTAAATCTAAGGAGTAACCCTCAGAAGACACCTTTGTCCTTCCCACTGCACTGACTGACTTCTGGGACTCCCATTTGAGAGACTGAGCCAAAGGAGTGAGTGCTGTATAAGAGCCAGTCTTGTTCAGGCGGTTGTCATCACTATGGTGAGGAAGGGAACATGAGTTCATCGTACACCTAGAGACTGAAGGTGGAAGGAATGGACAAGGCATGTTGATTGCCAGCATTGTCATCATGAGCCAGAGGCTCACCCTGCAGTTTAGCTCTCATTTTGTGGGGTAAAATAACAGTTCTTTCATGTTAGACAAGGAAAGTGTTATTTCTTCCCTTATGAAATATGTCTTGGGTGGTTTAATTGTTACATAGGAACACATTGCAGGCCCGGCATGGCGGCACATGTTCGTAGTCTCAGCACTCAGGAGACAGTAGTGAGAGGGGCATGATTGAGATTCTGTCTGAAAAACCAGGAAACAGATAAACAAGAACCCTGAGTGTGGAGTGACACAGAAACCAGCTCCTTAGCGAGTAAAAATGCAGTCCTTCTTAGTTCAGAATGAAAAGGAAAAGACTTAAAATAGTTGCTCTCTCCTATGAAATTACACAAACATAATATTGGGAGACCATTCCACCTGGGGGGGGGACTTCTTTAAAAAGAAGAAATACCATCATAGAGGCCTCATCTAGTAGCTGATGGAAACAGAAGCAGTTGCAGAGAGGGAGGAATGATAAGAAAAGGGGTCAAGACCAGGCTACAGAAATCCACAGAGACAGCCGACCTGAACAAGGGGGAGCTCATGGACCTCCAGACTGATAGCTGGGAATCCAGCATTGAACTAACTCAGACCCTCTGAATGTGGGTCTCAGTTAGAAGGCCTGGGCAGTCTAAGGGACCTCTGACAGTGGAACCAGGATGTATCCCTGGTGCATGAAAGGATTTTGGGAGCACGTTCCCCATGGAGGGATACTCCCTTAACCTAGAGGCAGGAGGGAGGGCCTAGTCCCTACTCCAAATGACTTGACAGATTTTGATGATCCCTCCTGGAGGGCATCGACCTCCCTGTGGAGTGGGGGGGGGGTTGGAGGGGAATCAAGGGCATGGGAGGGAGAGAGAACTGGGATCTATATGTAAAATAAGAAAAAATAATAAATCTATATAAAAATCATGCGCATTAAAAAAAGAATAATAGATCCAAGGCTAAATCTTATATGTTCAGCTTTGTTACATATTTTTAAAATAATTTAGCCACTTAACAGTCCATGCAGTTCTTCCCATGGCAATGTAGCTATAGAACAGCCTGCTGATTCAGGGGGAAAACATAGAATAACAGTGGTGGTGCTGAGGGCACAGCTGGTGTAGAACACCTGTCTAGCACACATAAGCCCCATCCTTAGAGCTGCCAAAAAAATTCTTGTAAGTAATAAGAAAGTTTAAAATGTAATATAAGCCAGGTAGTGGTGGCACACACATTTAATCCCAGCACTCGGGAGGCAGAGGCAGGTGGATCTCTGTGAATTCAAGACCAGCCTGGTCTATAAGAGCTAATTCCAGGACAGGCTCCAAAGCTACACAGAGAAACCCTGTCATGAAAAACAAACAAAAAGGCAACATAATACAGTTTTGTAGTCTTATTTTTGACTTTAAACCAATATAAGGTTACTTTTTATTTTGTATTGTGTGTATAGGCACGCATGTGTCTCAGTGCACATGTAGAAGTCAGAGGACAGCCTCTAGGGGCCACTCCCACCATGTGGATCCTGGAGAGCAAACCCAGGCTGTCAGGCTTGGTGGCAAGCATCTTTACCCCATGAGCCACCTCACTGAAGTTACATGATGCCTATAAGGTTCAATTAATTGCTTGAGTTTTTTGTTTCCTTTTTTTTTGGTATTATAGATCAAACACAAACTGTCACACACGCTAGGTAAACACTACCCTTGAATCTACCCTAGCCTAGAATTTAACTGTAGAGAACAACTCAGGTCTACATACAGGGTTTTTATTTCCCATAATTGAAAGCTTATACACTGAAATGAATAAAGGGCTATTATCTCAAAAATCATAAATACTTGTACCATCGCTGTACACACCAGTAGAACCCCAATTCTTACTGGTGCTGACCAACAACCTATACTGAGTGTTTTTACTACACAGTCAGATGAAAATGATTTTTCTGTCATACATAGCCTTCGTTATTTGTAGTTAAAGTAATGCAAGTGAAAAGTGCCTGTCACCAGGTAGGATGCAGTGACTGTTAGTCTTTATCTTTTACTTTTTTTTATTTAATCCTCAGATGTCTTTTGTATCTGACAGTAGTCATCCTAAACAAGATAAATCACCCATGAATGATGGTCTTAAAAATTGTGATATAAACATAGACTTTACTCAGCTGAAGCTCGATGATAAAGGTAAGGATGGAAATGTGTTATTTGTGTAGCTTCTAAAAAAAAAAATGTAATGTGTTGGGCATGGTGGCATACACCTTCAGTCAGCACTCAGGAGGCAGAAGTAGGCATTCTGTGAGTTCAAGGCCAACCTGGTGTATATTGTGAGTTCCAGGATAGCCAGAGCTACATAGTGAGACCCTGTCTCCAAAAACCAAAAAATAAAAAACCAGAAAACATGTAATGTTTAAAATGTACCCAGTCTGTACTAGTTTTTCCTTTCAAAGGTTGTAATTCCAGACTGCTATTAATTTTAGTGAGCTGAAGAACCACAGCATGTTTACTGAGTTTGTGTATAAAAATAACTTCATCAATAAAGGGTAGGTAACTGATGAAAGTGAGGGAGAAAGGCTTTCGATACACTGGGCATCGGCGTCCAGTGAGGGAAGCCTAGGGCTGAAAAGAGCTTTGTGTTTGGAATAGAGTCAGAGACTGCCTGGCTCGATTCCACCGTGCTCATCTCTGCATCACACATAAAGTCCATCCTTGTCTGGACAGAGGGGTTTATAACTGTGTTCCTGAGAGATAGACATGGTTCCTTGTGCTCAATGCCTTAGAACACAAAAGCGTTTGTGAAGTAAGTGAAGACTGGTTTGACGCAACAGAGAGGCTGACTGGAGTTGACGTCTCAGGACCTCAGGAAACACGAGGAACAGAACACGACGGATGGAGCCCAAAGAGTCCATTAGGTTGGTTCTCCAGAACTGCAGGAAAATCATAACCTAGCTTATCTAAAAATGGTGCTAAACTATGTTGTTTGGGGGAGACAAGCTATAAAAGTATTTTGTTCCTCTTTAAAAAGTGAGAAAATTGGCCAGTTGGAGGTGAAGTTTTAAAGAGCAAATAGTTAATAACTCTCGTTTCTGGAGAGCCAGTGTTCAGCCCACAGGGTGCACAGCCTTACTGGTGAAAGCAGAGGAGAGTGGCTAGGAGGTGCGTTTGTTACGGTAACTTCAGTGTCAGCATCTAAACTGTGAAGAAGGCTTCTTCGCTTTCTCTCCAGATGGATGAGCAGATTAGTACCTTAATGAGGAATGCAAGGTCTTCCTTTTTTTTTTTTTTCAAGAGAGGGTTTCTCTGTTTAACAGTTCTAGTCATCCTGGAACTTGCTCTTTAGACCAGCCTGGCCTCGAACCTTCCTCTACCTCCTGAGTGCTGAGATTAAAGGCGTGTGCCACCACCGCCTGGTGAAGAAGGCAAGGTCTTAACCATGAGAGACAGTGCCTGGACCAAACTGAAACTGCCCAGCCTCCTCCTCTGTAAGACAAAAACAATAGTTTTCACAGTCATTTCAAAAGGCTAAGCTACTCTTACTGCTTATGAAAAGTGGATTCATAGACCTTCCGTTATTCCATAAAAAATATAACAGGTAGAAACTAAGAAGTCTTTAGACAATGTATATACACCTGTATGCTGGGTGAGGGCTGGGAACCTGTGCTCAGTGGATAGGATCTTAGTTCACATCCAGTTGTCTCCACAGTTGGGACCAGGGAGATAGATAGAGCATGCAGACTTTGTATACTTTTGTCAAAAAGGAGATCTATAATCTCCTTTATGATACCTAGCTTTATGATACCTAAATTTCCTTGTATTCCTTCCATAATGACAAGGTCTATACCTGCCATGATGCATGTTTGATTCAAAGTGGTTTTGGTTTTTGGGTTTTTTTTTTTTTTTTGAGGGTTTTTTTTGTTTTTTTTCCAGCAAGTAGTGCACTTAAGAGTGTCCAGACACTGGTGTGACGCAGGCACTGAGAACCTGTGTGTACCCCAGGTCTAAACGGCAGAGATGAGTGATGCTTGGTGCTTGTATTGCAAGTGGTGAACTTTTGAACTACAGGAGACTGGATACTGTGCACCAGAACTCTTTATTTTAGGGTAACATGAATAAGATGCAGGAATCTTAAGGCTGACAGTCTAGACTCTTGTATCCAATCTGTGGTGCTTGATTTGTTTTAGTGTTTTTTTTAAAAAGGTTACAGTATGTATTCCAGGCTAACTTTGAACTTGTGATCCTCATGCCTCAACTTTCTCAATTCTGGGATTACGGGTGTCTACAAACATGCTTGGTTTAATTTAGATGTTTTCTGACTTTATTACTTTTAATTTATCTTGTAAGCATGTGTAGGTGTGGGTGTGTGTGCCGTGGCAGGCATATAGAGGTCAGAGGACAACTTTAAAAAGTCCAGCGATTCCTAAAGACAGGACTCAAATTGTCAGGCTTGGCAGTAAGTACATTTACCTGCCATCATGATGACTTGAGTCTAATTCCCATAATCTATATGGTAGAAGGAGAGAACTGGCTCCTGTAAGTTGTCCTTTGACTTCCACACCCGTGCACTTTGGCATGCACATACAATGCCCATGCACATACAACACACAAAATCAAAAATACGTTTTGCAATTGGAAAGAAAATGAAATATTAACATTGGCATTTTTCTTTAAAATATTTGATGTCACAGTGGGCATTTCTGTGATATATTTTTTTCTATAATCAGAAATGAAGAATGGTGAACAGCTTCGAAGAAGTAAAGGCTTTTTGATACATGTTGGTGGTCTTTGCCCCTCTGTATCTGAGGTAGGTCCAGAATTTCGGGGAGAGGGGGCTTCACTTTTAAATGTATAAATTATTGTGATGTCTTTTCAACCTTTCACAGATTTTATTTTTTCTTCTTCTAGGCTGATTTAAGGACTCATTTCCAGAAATATCAAGTTTCTGAAATTTCAATCGATGATTCTACTAATTACAGGTATGCTACCAAATTCAAGCTGTGCATTACTATATGTCTGCTGTGCAACAGATTGAGTGAGCAGGAGCCACTCCACGGAGAAGGCCCAGACAGAACAGAACAGCAGCAGTTAGGCTGGGTATTAGACTGTTATTCCTGTTTCAGAATCCTGGCTGCTGAGATTGCAGCATCCACCGTCACACATGGTCTCTTTATCATAGATAGGAGAGTTAACTGAGTTTTGTGTATTTATCTGGCTATATGCCATTTCACAGCAGAAGAGTGCATCATTTACGAAGATATACTCAAGAAACAGGACCATTTCAGGGCTGGGGAGATTGCTCAGAGGTTAAGAGCACTGGATGCTCTCCCAGAGATCTTAAATTCAATTCTCAGAAACCACATGATTTCCTGGGTAGTGGTGGTGCATGCCTTTCTTTAATCCCAGCACTCGGGAGGCAGAGACAGGTGGATCTTTGAGTCTGAGGCCAGCCTGGTCTACAGGGCTAGTCCCAGGATAGACAGGGCTACACAGAGAAACCCTGTCTCAAAACCAAAAAAAAAAAAAAAAAAAAAAAAAAAAAAGAAGGAAGGAAGAGAATTGTTTCAATCCCCAACTCCTTCACTAACTTGAATTACTTTGAATGCATTACTCAACCTCTCTGAGTTGTAGCTTCTTTGTAAAATGAGGATAAGGATAATAAATAGTATTGTCATATATTGTTGTTATACTAGGCAAAAAGATAGAAAGTTGGCTTGGAAGGGAATATTTAATTCAATTATTTCTGACTTTAGTTACTTCTGCATTGTTTTATATTTTTAGGTAGACGCCTGCATCACCCATCTATGGTTTCTGTGTGTGTGTGTGTGTGTCTACTTTGACATTTATACATTAATCAGAGTATCCAGTTAGAGTGATAATTACTTCATGGGGATATTTACTGTTCTGTCATGAAAATAATAGCTATTGATTTCAGAGGTCAAAACATAATTAAGAGAGGTTTGCTTGTAGCAGGAGACCTACATTTGTGAAAGTTGGTACTAATTTTCTTAGTTATAGACACTTAGATTGTTTCTTTTATATGACACATTGATAGGATGTTAATGTATTTTTCTCATGTTAAACTAGAGTTGTATCTCTTAGGAATATTATACTTCATGTCTTTATTTTATTTTATTTTTTATTTATTTATTTATTTATTTATTTGGTGTCTTATAGAATCCTTAAAAATCTTAGTGAGGTTTTTTTTTTCCTTAAAATACAATTTTTGTGTATAAATTTAGAAAATGCAGTTAAATACAAAAAATATAAGGATATTTTAAAATTGTATCTGTAGTCCCATCATTTAAAAAAAAAGAAACCTTGCTTAAGATTTGGTTAAAAGAACAAACTTCTTTTAACCCTGTATAGAGCTGTTAACTTAACAGGTACCTTTCTGGCTTAGCTTTCTCAATTACATAATTAAACTTCTGACTAGATTGTCCAACTTTTTATTGATATATTTTCTCACTACTGACTATAAGTGCATTTGCATATATTCTGCTAATATTTTCCAGTTTTGCCTTTAATATTTAAGCCTTCAAGCTACTTGGAGTTCATATTTGTACATAAAGATTAACTTTCATTTTTAGGATGTGTAGCCACTTGGCCCTAGGCCTCAGATCTGTACAAATGTATATATCAACCATATAGACTGCAGTTTTAAACATTAAATTTTAATAAAATAATTCATAATTATTGCATATTATCCTAGTTCCACTTTCATTTGTCCTATATTCAGTTATCCTGAATAAATACCTACTTATTTGGCCGTGAGCATCTTTAATCCTAACCCTTGAGAAGCAGAGGCAGGCAGATCTCTGAGTTCCAGGTCAGCCTGGTCTACTGAGCAATCTCCAAGATAGCCAGGACTAAATAAGAAACCCTGTCTCAAAAAACAAAATTCAGAAACAACAAACATCACCTGTATACCCCAGCAAGTTCAAGAACCTATTTAAGAGCAGCTAGCTGTTCATGTGAAAGCCATCTTAGTTTTTACAAGAGTAAGTTGGAGCTGGCCATTAACAAAAACCCTTGGTTTTCTGCTCTGGTGTTTTAGATATGCATCTCTTGCCTTTGCAAAAAACAGTAATGCAAAGATGGCTGTGAAGGAAATGAATGGTATAGAAATCAATGGAAAATCAGTGAACGTGCGGCTTGTGAAAATTCCTGGAGAACACACACCACCACTTTTGTCCAAAACTGGGAATAGCACTAGTGTGAATCCTTTGGAGAAAAACATCAACAAAGAAGGCACCTTTGCCTCTTCTGCTTGTAGACTGCCCAGAGCTCGACCAAGGCAGCTGGAGTCTGAGCAAGACAGTGAGTTTCCTCCCTTGGACCAGGTTAGTTTTCCTAATTGATTAGCCATGGCTTGAGTGCTGCGGGAAGTGCTGTTGTAATGACAGTCCCCCAGCTGGCACAGCAGATCAGTAGGATGGCTCTTATCTTAGATCCACCCTCGCCTGTGTTTGCACAGCTGCACTTCCTCTTGTGGAGAAATCTAGCTGTCCCCCACCTGGCTCTGGAGAAACAGGTTCTTTTAGCTGGGTTTACTATAGTCCTTCACTGTCTTTCTTAATTCGTGAACAGAACCACTCTAGCAGTCATTCTTCCATAAGTATTGCCTCGGTTTTTTTGTTTGTATTTTTTTTTTTAAGTTTTTTACAGTAACCTTACCTTATACATCTCAGAACTACAAAACATAGTTTCAAAACCCTCATCTTCACCCCATTACAGTTTTAAATGCTTCCTGGAAAGTGACAGTTTCACTCAACACAATGTCTGGTATCCATTGTGATACCATATTTTTTTATGCGCAGTAAAATTCACTCTTGGTGTTCATAACTAGACACTTGCGATTACTTAGTCACGCCCCCACCGCTAAAAAACGAGAGAACAGTATTAGCATTCCCAGAGAACTCTCCTGCGCTGCTGCCAGCCTTGTCCCTCAGTCCTCCCCAGCCCTTTCCTGACTCTTGGTCACCCCACCATACCTTTAGACACCTTGGAGACTGCATTTCCATTCAGACTTTTCTCTGTTGACAGCACCCACAGCCCTCCCTACTAAGCCCAGCAGGGTCTCATTTGCATTCTTGAACTTAACCCTTACTTGTCCTGTGGTTTTATTACAAAGCTTCTCTATATCCATTGTCTTCGTTTACTTGATCATTTCCTCTTTGTCCTGTAATTCATTCTCTAAAGTTCACTGTTCTGTTCGTTGTCAAGGGTGACCTAGATAGTGATCTTTCCTCCACCTGCTGCCTTCTTGAGCTTGGACAGTGGCAGTCCCTGTTAAAATGCTCCCTTTCCCTGGGGGTGGGGTGGGGTGGGGGCACATGCCTTTAATCCCAGCAGAGGCAGGCTGATCTCTGGGTTTGAGGCCAGCCTGGACTACAGAATGAGTTCCAGGACAGCGGGACTGCATGGAGAAACCCCCGTCTCAAACAAAACAAAACAACAACAACACCCCATTCATTCCCTGACACTTAATATTTAGGGTGGGTTTTAGGGTCCACGGTTCTAATCCATACTAGGAAAGGGGGACACAGGGTCCCTGGGAGCTGAGCTGGCTATTTGGGGACTATGGTCCTCCCTCTGCGCCACACCACGCTGCATCTGTCAGTCCCTCCTCTCTCTTCAGGTGGCTTTTCTGTGCTCATGGTTGCAGTACGCCCACTTCCTGTCACTAGCTGTAGTGCTTCTAGTCAGGCTCTGATCATTTGACTGAATTTGTTTCCTCTATGTTCCAGTCCCATAGACAAGCAATCTCTAGACCTGGCCTGTGAGCCTGGTGCTCTTCAGCCTGAAGACAGCACTCTTTGGTCCAGTCAGCTGGGGCTGTGGGCATTGGGGCTGGCAGAGGGCAAGTGTGAAGAGTGTGCTGCAGGCTCTGGATTCAAGTGTGTGAAGCTCTTGTTGGCAGCTTTCATAGACTGTGTAGTTCTCTTACCTTCCTAGACGTTCTTGCGCCTCTTTGCTCATATTTTCAACATTTGCTTAGGGTGTCAAGAAAAACTGTAGCCAGATTGAGTCTGCTCGGTTATTACCTGAGACACCTGTTCACTTCATACCTCCAAATACATTGAACCTTCGTAGCTTCACCAAGATCATGAAGAGACTGGGTGAGCTGCATCCAGATATCAGCAGGTACTAACTAAAGTCATAACTTTACTTATACTTGTATGTGCAAAGTAGCATTGAAAACTTCTGACACATGGTTGCTTGAGAAGCAGAATTGCTGTCTGTTTTCCTGTTATATAGAGACCACATAATCGAGGCTCTTCAGGAAGTGAGAATAAATCATAAAGGTTTTCTGAATGGTTTGTCCATCAACACCATTGTCAAAATGACTTCATCTTTTCTAAGAAATTCTACTTCCCGTTAGGAATAAATGAAGCAATATAAAGGTAACGTAGTTGTATGCTTTTATACTTAGATATTAAAGATTTTAGTTTTTATGTAAAACTATTGATCTTAAATTGAAACAGCAATATAATAGTAAAATATTACATTTTAAAACAGGTACACCATGTTAGTTAACTGTTGATTTAGAGCCAGTGTATTGGTTACTTTGCTCACATCTGAGAGACAATCTATAGGAGGGAAGGTCTGCTTCAGCTTCAGAGAATATAGTCCATCATGGTTGGGATGACGGACGTGGCAGAAAGGCTCCATGGTGGCGCAGTGTGTAGATGAGTCCCTGTCATCGTGACCAGACCATGAAGCAGAGAAGAAAACACTAAGGTCCAGGCTGCAGCCTTCAAAGGCCCACTTCCCCAACACCCCCTCCGTCCCCCAGTTACCCACTTTAGCTAGCCAGACCCTTCTAGAGAGCACTGCTTCCAGGAAGGTGGGATCTTGGTTAAACTCATCAAGGATGTATGTTTTCAAATAATTGTACAAAGGGGAACATGGGCTAGAAAGGTCCTGGTGTGTGTGGCAGGCTGGGGTGGGGGGTTGGACATGTCAGTAGCTCAAGTACCTCAGAGTGAGCGTGACTCAACACCTGGCTCCACCAGATAGCTCCCTCTCAACTGCAGTAACTTGACTGCACTGATGTTATAATAGTGACAGCTGGTAACCTGTTTCTGCAACCAATTTAGTAATTCAGTTAGTGATAGGATTCATCAGTGAATAGACCAAAGGAATGCATATGCTTGGCGGTGGTAGCTCATACCTTTAATCCCAACACTCAGGAGGCAGAGGCAGGTGGAGCTCTCTGAGTTCGAGGACAGCCTAGTCTACAGAGTGAGTTCTAGGACAGCCAGAGCTGCATAGTGAGACACTCTGTCTTGAAAAACAAAACAAAATAAACAAAAAATTGCATACAATGTACAAGTGAGTTGTAAAATTAATAGTATAGTAATAAGTAATATTGTTACCTAAGTTTTTCTAGAATGTGGTATTTGGCATAATCAGCTCATTTTATTGTTGGTTTCTGTGTTCTTGATCCTCTAGAAAATCCTTGGAAAGTATGACTACCCTTATTCAGAGAGTATTCTACAGCACTAAGGAAAATCAAACATCCTCTGCAAATTGGACCTAACTTAACATTCCAGTTGATGATCCTCCTTTAAAATCTGGCAACAACAGATACATCTATAGTATTAAAATCTGCATGTTTTATTGAGTATATAGACTTAATTTCAGAATTATTACGCAAGACTTAAAGTGTATTTTGAATTAGAAAAAAGGTAGTCATGAACATTTATAAGTCATCATTAATAAGTATATTTAAGAAATACTGTCCAGAAAAAAGTTTATTGTTTCAAAGTTCTTTGCATTTGTAAAAATTATGTAAAAATTTTTACATAATTCCATATGTAAAAATGGGATTTTTCTGGAGCTCATTGTGGTTTCATCTTCTAAGACTCAGATTGGACCATGGGGAAGAGATAAGTTGAGTTCAGTATGTGCAGAATTAAGTACTGCTTGTGATACATTAGTGTGCTTTGATGACAGAATAAATCACTCAGATTCAGGTGTGCTGAGGCAAAGCACTGAAATTTAAAGTCCCCCTATTCTAGCCTGTTTGACTAAGTTCTGTTGTATTTGAGTATAAATTGGAACAATTTTCAAAGGCTAATGTGGTTCCCCATCTCCTAGCATTATAGAATGTAAGGTTAATGCCGTTTGCTTTCTAATAGTAACTAGTGCCCTGGTTGAAGCTGCATTTGTACTGATAACTTAACATTTAGTACTTTTTCAAATGTTTGAACTGTTTTTATCCAATTCTTCATTGTTGTTGCTTGATTAAAAATTACCCATTAAGCATTTATTTATTTGATGTCCTTGTGTTTAATAAAGGTAGTCCATTGGTCTATAGTTCAGTCTGACTCTAGTGTTCTCTAGAAGTGGGAGTTTCTGAGTATAGGCCACCTATCACTGTTTATGTGTATACAAACAACTACTGGGTAAAGATTTTCCTCTTATTTTAATAATTTGTCTCATTTTTTCCCAGATTTACTTCACATGTCTGCCAAGAATTAGATTCCTCTGTGTGTATATACCTAAATTCAAAAGCAATTGGTTTGACCCATACATCAGTTTAGTAGTATTATAAAATCATATGGGGTATTCTCTACATATAAAATCATATGCATTCCATTGAAAGGCTACATTGACATTTGGCACTAAATATCCTTGTGATCCAGACTAGGCATTATCTTTAATATATTTGGAGAAATTAGTATATCTGTAGTCATTTGTTTTTAAAGAAGAATAATCAAATATGAATCTTATTTTAGAATACATAAAGACAAAATAAACTGCATTTCATTTGGGAGAAATATAGTAAGGTCATTTCAAATAATGTTCAGGGGATTGGAATTAGGAAGTCCTTTCTAATAACTAACATAGAAATCTGGCAACTTCTGTGCACCAAAGGGCTCTCAGCAGCACCTGGAAACTGAGACTCTTCACATGTTAGATTAGAAACTCAGGGACTAAACACTCACTGCTCTTATAGAGGACCCATGCACAGCTCCCAGCACCCACATGGGGTTCACAACTGTTCCTAACTCCAGTTCCAGGAAATCTGTTATCTTTCGGACCTCTGCAGGCACTATGCATGTATGTGTGTGGTGCACATACATACATGCAGGCAAAACACATGAAGTAAAATGAACACATCTAATAAAAAAAAAATCTAAAAATAGGGGGCTGAAGAGATGGCTCAGCAGTTAAGAGCACTGACTGCCCTTCCAGAGTTCCTAGGGTCAATGCCCAGTACCCACGTGGCGGCTAACAACTGTAGCTCCAAGATCTGATACCCTCACACATAGACATGCATGCAAGCAAAATGCCATGCACATAAAACAAAAAGTTTTTAAAAAAATTAAAAAGTAATTTTTAAAAAGAATTAGTTTAAAAAAGAAATACTTTATGAATCTTTTTGAAATCTCAAGTGAAAAAAATCAAATTTTATATTCTAAAGTCTTTAATGTTATAGTTATACTTGTTTGTTTGTTTTTTGGTGGGGTGGGGGTTGTTGAGACAGGGTTTCTCTGCATTCATTCTTGTCCTGTAACTCACACTGTAGATGAGACTGGCCTCAAACTCACAGAGATCCATCTGCCTATTATCTCTTACCCCTGAGTGCTGGGATTAAAGGCGTGTGCTACCACTGCCTGGCTACTTGTTGAATTTTTTAAGCCTGGCCAAATTATGTTTCCAAATATCTTCAAAGGCAAACTTTCACATAATTTTTGTGTGCTTCAGTGTTGTTCAAATAGCTTTTCTTTGATAGCGTAGTGTCAGAATAACAAAGAACACTTAGCCATATCAGATAACAAGCAAGTTCCCTGACTTGTCAAAAGGACTAAAACTCCATGTTGACTGCCTGGCATTGGCCTTGATTTGGTCATAGGAGATAGCACATGGACAGCACATCGTTTTATTACAGGTTGTTCCCAGCCTGTATTTTAAGTACTGCATTTTCACAGTTGACCATTGCTGTCTAGCATGGTAGGGTCCTTGCCTAGCATGAATAAGGTTAGCATGAATTCTAACCCTAGCAAAAATTGTTTTATCTTTGAGGGTTATAGAAAGAAGTTCACTAAATAGGTAGGAGTGGACTTCTAAGATGTCCTGTGGTTCATTCCCAGAATGTGTGGACGGGTCCTTTGTGGCAAAGAGAATTAAGATTATGATTGCAAGAAAGGCTGCTGGTGAGTTGTCCCTGCCATGGAGAGAGGTGGTCCTGGATTGCCTGGGTTGCTCAGTCCTTTCATGAGTTCTTAAAATAGCAGATGAGGAGGCAGAAGTGGTGAGGACTAGCCTTGCACTTGCTTCCTTTGAAGCAGTAAAGGCCCGGAGTCAAGGACTGCAGACACCTCCAGCAGCTGGAGAGGCCTGGGCAACAGGCTCTTCTGGAACACCAGAAGGAAGCCCTTTGTCAGCTCCTGGGTTTTAGCCCAGGGAGCCTGCATCAGACCTCTGTCCCAAGTGTAACACTCTCAGACTGGTGACAGAACGTCAGCAATAGAAGGCAATGGCTCCTTTCCCAGTGGACAGCTCACAGCAGACTGACAATCCATCCACCATGGTGGGAAGTCGAGGCAGCAGGAGCTTGAAACTGCTGGTCACATCACCAGCAGTCAGGAGAGAGCAATGCGTGCTCTCCTTAGCTTACTCAGTTTCACACAGGATGTGTTGGCACAGGGAGGTCCCACCCACAAGTAAGATGGATCTTTTCACATCCTTTAGCCCAGTCAGGGTACTCCCTCACATGTTTGCTTAAGGACCACCTAGCTCCCAGATGATTTCACAAACCAAGCAAATAAGATTGTTCTGTTTATCTTTGCCTCCATTTTCAGTCTTGGGGGAAAATTACATGAGAGCCTCTTTGAGTTATGTAAACTCCTCAGGCTGTTAATAAAGACACAGAATTCACTTCCCATAACATGGTATTTGTTTTCTTTTACCCTGTCCTGCCTGTGGTGGCTTTTTAGTGCTTTTCTGGAGGTCCCTGGCCTTGACATGTGTTGGTTATTCTGTAGACTTGACTTTTTACCTGATTACTCACTGGTGACTATACCCAGACACCCATCTCCTCTGCCCAAGCACTCGTGTAAGAGGTCTTTCTTCTGTAATGGGGTGGGGGGTGTCTTTGAAGCTTTACAAGAATCTAAAATTCCTGCTTACTGGTTCCAGTACCCATTGGCCCATTTTGATGGAGACAGTTCCTGCAGTGTCTGTAGTAGAGACTGGATCTCCATCACTTCTGTGTGGACACGCCTCTCTCTTGCTTAGCAATATTAGGACAGTGTGAAGCCAGTATTTGTTCTCTGGGTTCAGATGCATCAGTCGAGTTTCTGCTCACATTATGCCAGGGCTAGCACATAATTCCTTTAGGGTGGGGGCTGTTTTCTTCTGAATGCTTGGATTTTGCCACCACAAGGCCTTCCGGTTCATCTGGCACATCCCTTGCTCCAACAAGTTGTTTTCTTTTCTGGCAGAGCAGCATTTAGGAAGCCTTGTGGCTGGCGGGACACTCACTGCTGTGGTTCTGAGGCTAAGAACAAGTATCTGCTGGGTCACGTGTCCTGTACTTGTTCTACAGTTGGAGGTGGTGGCTGTGTCCATGTACATTCCTGACGATGCTTTGCCTGTCCTCTCTGTAAACTTGGCTCATAGTTGCCATTTTTCTGTCCAGTTCTAGTCTGTACACAAGGCCATTGCAGCTTTTCAAACCATCATCTTGTGAGAAACTGCCAAACAACATTTGAAAACACTTTAATATTTCATCAGCCTTATACAATGTAGTCAGTGAGTTTTTAAACTGACACATACTAGTGTCCCTTGTTCCCTAGTATGATTGTGCATAAATATATTATGTGCTCATTCATTTGCTTGGTTTGAGGTTTTGTTTTTGTTTGTTTGAGATAGGGTCTCACCAATGTAGCCCTGGCTAGCCTGGAACTTACTATGTGAAATAGGCTGGCCTTGAACTTGGAAAGATCCACCTGCCTCTGCCTCTTGAGTGCTGGGGTTAAAGGCACAAACGGCCACATATGTGTGCGTGCGTGTGTGCATGTGTACAGGGTCCCTTCTGTTACACGTATTGAAACTTCATTGTTCATATACATCTGGATAGAGCTAACTCCTCTTGTTCAGCTCACAGTTTCAGTCTGTCCTTGCCCTCTGCTAAGTGTTGAGCTGGTGGGGGAGGGGGACTGGGCTGTGAGCAGCAGGGACTTGTGACTTTTTCTTTTCCTCAGTTGTCCCTGAGCACATCATTTTCTGACGGATGGACAGTTCCCTTGAGGATTTTGGTTTGCTTTTCCCTTGGGTGTGTTTGAGGGAGTGAAGCTCAAAGCTCCTTGAGAGCCCTGAGGATTTGGGTTTTAACTGCAGCTCCCTTGAGGGGCTTGACAAGCTAATGCTTGAAGCTGAGTGTTCCCAAGATGCCTTCTGCGAGTCCTTATCGCACAGCTGTGCTTTAGAATGACTGACTCTTTGTGGCAGTGGCCAGAGTGGCCTCCTGCTGGCCGGTGGGGAGTGGCAAACTCAAAACAGTTGTCGCTCTTCCTACCTGCACTTGAAGACATCCCCTTGTTCACTTGTGACTTTCCTCTGGCCGCTGTTGAGGTTCCTCTGTTGCCAGCATTAAACAATTGCATGTGGGTCATGACTCTTGTATTTGGGGGTTGTTGGTATCCTTGAGTCTGTAGCTTCATGGGTGTATTTCCCACTCTTCCTCCAGGACTACAGTCACATAAATGAGGCCACTGGAAGGGGGGTCACAGTCCTCTGCTGCGTTGTTTTATTTTAGAAGCCCGTTGTGGCTGTGATGGTTACATGGAGCTGTGATGCCCTTGCTTCTTGCTGCCAAGCTCCTTCAGGCTGCCCTAGAGCTACATTTGTTCTTCCTGGGCCTGCGGCAGTCCTGCTCTGGCTACTCTGCTGCTCTGGGTCCTTCTGGTTTCCCTCGGAGGTGGTGGGAAGTGGACTATTGCAGGCTGAGTAAGCTCTTTGGTTTTTTTTCCTCAGCTCAGATAGTGTCTCTACATAAACGTGTGAAGCCTGAGCTCTGACTCTCTCATTTGTGTTCTCGAAGCTCCCTTTCATTACTTAGACTGACTCCCCGGCCTCTGGCTTTCCTCTCCCTACTGGAAACTTAGTGGGCAGTCAGGCTGTTCCGATTCTCGGAGTTCCCTGTACTGTCCCTGTGACACTTACTGAGGTGTAGTTTACCATGTACATGTGGGAACTTTGTGACCACTGAAGATGTAGATGGACTTACTTCCACCATTAATGCCATCAAGCGTCAAGCCTCTCTCCCCGTCAGCCCATGGGCCTCCCTGGGGAGGGAAATCTATAACGCTGCTGCCTACCAGGTAGCAGTGTGAGTGAATCTTATAGACTTGAAGGGGCCAGCCTGTTGTCGCATGGCAGCCTCACTAGGGCCAAGTGTCAGAGTCACTCCTTTATGTGTGAATTGGGAGAAAGTCACAGCAATTACTGAGGAACCTCTTGGGCTAGATTCTCAGCAGCAAACATGAAAATAAGAACCACCCACCAAACTCCTTACTACAAGGCAGAGCTCAGCAGTTTCCCAGCACTGTCTGGGAAATGTCTGTCGATGCAAAAAGGCTGGCATCCTGGTAGGGTCTTCATGAGGTTCAAAACAAAGAGCTGGCCACGCCAAAAGAATGTGTTCCCTTTTCCATGTCCCCTTGACTTCAGGACATTGGGGTCCCCAGGTCTTATGTGTGCAGATCCCAAATGTCCTTCTGGCCTGTGTTCACCAGTTTGCTGTGCCGGGCCAAGCTCTTGGCCAGAAGGTGGCAGCAACCTCTTAGCCTTGTCCCCTTTCCTCTGAGGAATGTTGGTTGCCCAGCAGTATTGTCTTCTGGCCCCTGAGTGAAGCCTCTGCCCTCGCAGGGGACAGGTGATAGTCTGCTCAGCTGCAGGGGGCTGCAGGCCAGCCAGTGGTGAAGCCTGGTTCAGACTTGCTCAGACAGTGAGCTGTTGCTTCCATGACTTTCCAGCTCAGGCCCTACCCTGTACTTAGGGTATCTGCCCCTAACAGCATGCCAGTGTTACACAGCCTTTCTTGCTTATAAAAACATACCCAAGACTCCAACCCACTACTAGTCCATTCTGTGTGCCGTCATGGCCAGTAGCCAACCCTAGCGGAAACTGTCACCTTTCTACCTAGCAGTTCCTTTTGTCCCAAAGTAGGGTATTTATGGACTCTGCTGCCCTACCCTGGCCTATCACCAGCTGCTGGCAAGCGCACCTTGTTCCCGCTGGCCATTCTTCCTGAGGTTCCACTCCTTGTCCTGCAGATATTGGCAGGCCTGTTTTTGTCCCCACCACGCCAATACCCTACGGGAAAAGGAGCTGGGACAACTGGCTGTTTGCAGAGCAGACCACAGGATAGAGCTGCGGAAACCGGCCCTCAGGGAGAGGTGCCGAGTCTGAGGACCTGGAGACCCTCCAAGCCCATTTGCCCCAGACATTTCAGGAGCCTCCCATCCAGTCCCATCTGAGCTCCAGCTTCAGGTGCCGCCCGCCAGCTTCCGCCGTCGACAGCGGGCTGGCGTGGGAGCTGCAGTGGGTCGGGCGCGGCCTCTCCCTAGCTCCCGCCCCCGGCGCGTCTCCAGCGGGCTCAGAGCTCGGCGAGGCGCTGGGACGGCGGGGCTCGGCTCTCGCCATGGCCCCCGGCCTCCCGCGGCGCGGTCTCTGGCTGCTGCTGGGTGAGTAACCCGGGCTGCAGCACCGGAGGTGACTTGGGACCGGGAGGGCAACACCTGAATGCACCACCTTACTCAGAGTGCGGGCTCCGTCAGGGCAGGAGAGCCTGTAATGCAGAGGTCTGTACCACCTAACGCTACCACGGAGATGGGACGACTTGGGCACATCAGCCAGCAGGCCATCTGAAGGCACCAGCAACTTTTGTCCATACAATGGACAGCTTGCTTTCCGGGAGGGATGGGAGTGCGCGGGTAGCTTCAGTTCTCAGGCAGGCGGGCTCCAAGCTGATGCAAGCTCCCAGAGCCAGCATCAGCTTACAGATGTGCTCAACTTCCATCAGAGCCACAGCTTAGGTATCTGAACACTATAACTGGAAACCTGACCGTCACGGACAGCAGTTGCTTGTTGAAACAGTTTCCATGGGGGCTTTGTTGTTGACCTGTTAACTTGGCACTTATGACTTAAAAAAAAAAAAAAAAAGAAGTGGCAGACTTGCTGGGTTTCTGTTTTAGAGTGTTTTAGAGTGCAGCCCAGGGGTAACCAACAAGAAACTGCCCATCTCACTTTCCTTGTCTGTAATACACGGAGAATGCTGCCAGGAGCCTGGACTGCCATACATATTGGACATATTCCAGGGACACAGCTACCTTTTAATGAAAGCAAAACAAGGGATGGCTGGTGTCCCTGGGAAGGCCTTGTGGCTTGATGGTTCTTGTGGTCTCTTCCCACACCCATGGTGTTGGTCAGACAGGCACCTGCTGCTCTGGCTCTGGTGATGGTAAAGTCTGGCCACAGGCACTGTTTATAGCCAAGGAAGCAGCTCAGTACAGTTTGGCCTGTCCATGGAGCCTGGGCAGGAACAGCACTGAGAGCCCTTCCATTTGCCCAGCAGATCTCACCCATTTGTAACCCTCACCAAGTACTGACAGGTCTGCAGAAACTATCTGTCTCTGGGTAATAGAATCTGAAGGTGGATCTGGCTCCTTACATGTCTTAGCTAAACTCACATGAAAAGCAAAACCTTATAATAATGTTGATGTCTTCCACTGTGCTAAGATCTTGGTTTGATGTGGGATTTTAGCTAGTTTCCTAGGAAATGACATTTCTATATTAGCAAAGCAGAGGGCTGGTTGAGCAATTTCTTTTTTAGAATAAGCAAATAAATAAAGGTTGCTTACCAGTGCACCAGTTGCACCCTGGAAGGCTTGTGTAAATAGAACACTATGTCTGACCAGACCTAAGGACCACATGTGTTTACCAGGAATAGGGTTCGTCTTGAAGTCCAATGTCCTGTGTGCCTGATGTATCCCTGAGTGGCCTGGCAATGTTGTCTTGGGAGAACAAACCCAACTTTATGAGGTTATCGGTGAATTAATGTCTTTGGAGCCCAGCTGTGATGAGCGGAATCTCTGAGCTCATACTGTTCTTCCCGGGCCCTGCTACTGGCCAGATCTCCTTGGTGATAGAGTCTGATATCCTGAATGGCTGTGTGCAAGGGTTTCTGTTTTCCCCTAAAGTATGCTAATCTTCAGGGCTAAGATTTTATCTGGGACAATTTTTTAAACAAGCTGGTTCTTTTCTTATTCTACCTGCTGGCTTTATTTGTAATTAAAAAAAATATCAGCAGATAAAGCATTTTTCTTTCTCCCTGAGTACCCTGTGTATGCTGTTGTGTTTATAGAAGGCTGCATACATTTTTTAAATGTTTCACGTGTAATCATCAAAAAGTTCCTCAGCAGTCAGAAAAGATGTGAGCCTGTGGTTATAAGGCAGACCAGCTTGGACAACTTTCGTGACTGCTTTGCAAGCTCCTTTTATTTTATTTTATTTTATTTTTTAAACTTCAACTGGGCATGCCAGCCACCTCTGACATGATCAGTTCCCAAATCTTCTGTATCGGAGAATACATGCCTCTCATCTATCATTCTGGGAACCTAGAAGGGGGGATTTGATAGTCTGGACTATTTGTTAAACTATATATAAACTACAAGTTTATAAATATTATATATTATATATAAACTATATATAAACTACAAGGAGCATCCCAGAAAGTCAGAGTGTGGCCGTGTTGCTGTTTTTGTCCGGACACAGTTCTAGCTGCAGAGTCCAGACCCAAGGGCTCCCACCTGCTGATCGAATCATCCTGCTTGCTTGCTATCACTGTGAGCTTAGAGGCAGAGGGGGACTCTTGGGTATTTTCCCTACTTCCCTGCACATATGCCGGGTCCGTGTGCGGATTGTCAGTCCAGCCCAGGGCTGCAGAACAGTGTTTCCATAAATGCTGGGCTACAGGGAACTGTAACATAGGGGAACATTTTCAGATGCAATCCTTACTTGGGGCAAATAGCTCATGGGAAAAGTCTCCGGTGGCTTCCCCACACACCCCAGAGTGAACCAATGCCATTGTTTCTGATCAATCCTAAACTGGCATCTGGTAGAGTGTGTGACGTGGGTACCGCATGTGCTATGAATTCCAGTGAAAATGCTGAGCCAGGGGATGGTTCCCCAAAGGCTCATCCTCTGGCAACCCTCCCTCAGGCTCACAGCCCTTCCTTCCTTAGATGCCATGTGTCCTCAGGGCTGTACTTCGGTGGGGAACTGGCTACCAGGATAGTTACAGGCTGGACAGTCAGTTTTCTTCTGGGGCCCAGGAGAAGGTGGGTCTGAGTACCAGTTGCCAGTGTGGTGTAGCCTGCAGGCCACAGGCTTTCTGTTCAGGAGTCAGAGGAACAGATGCACTCCTCATACCTTTTGAGCCCCAGTTGGAACCCGTTCTGGGAACCCACCAAGTCTGAGCCAAGTTTTCCAACCTTCTACATGTCCCATAGCTCAGAGGTCAAACAGTGGCAACACAGAGAGGGCTAGAAGCTGCTAAATAGCTCTCCTTAGCTGCAGCACAAGGCATGCCGGCTCCTGTGACAGAGTGATATGTCCCTAATGCCCCTGGTGCCAAGGTGGAGAAACGCCCCCTTGCGACCATGCAGTTGCCCCTATGCCCTTACCTCTTTATCTGCCTCAATCAGCCATCTGGTCAAAGTGCTTTTAAACTGCGATGGTGGCCCACACCTGTAATCCCAACCCTCAGGAAGCTGAGACAGAAGGGTTACAAAACAGACCAACTTGAACTACATCGGGAGACCTTGTCTCAAGTAATCAAAATATATCTTCAACATCAAAAATACTGCAGAACTGGGGAAGATGGTTCAGTAGGTAAAAGCATGGCTGTCCAAGTGTGGGAACCTGAGTTTGAACCCCCAGAACCCACATACAACAGACACGCAGCTCAAAGGTCTATCATTCCAGTGCTCTTGAGGGGCGATGGGAGACAAGGCAGTCTGGAAGCTAGTCTGTTGGATGCTGCAAAAAGGCAGCATCCACCTCAATCCAGGAAACTGGTAAATACCAATGCCTGAGGATGTCCTCTGATCTCCACATATCTGTGATCACACCAGTGCACATACACACAGACCACTTGCAACTAAGCAAGTGCAGATTGAAAACATGTAGTATAACAGTTATTATATTACACTATGCATAGTAAGCCACTACCAAGGTTATTAGAACAGTAGAACATCCAGGTTGGTGGTTTGTAAGTAAGCGCCACTCCATTTCCCATGAACCCATCGTGGTTCCCCATTATACCTTCCACTCTCTTGGACCTTGACTCACCAGGGATTCTGTAGTGATGTCCTCTGTGGCTAGACCTTTTGGGAGGAATAGTAATTTAATGGTAATGGCACTGAACTTAAGCATCGAAACATGCTGGTGTTGAGACCCTCTGCTCAAGAGTCCATCCGTCTGCATCTTCAGCCAGGGATTCATGGACTGGTTCTTTGGAGTCCTGTGCTTTTTTGTTTTGTTTTGTTTGACTGTTGCTACAAATGGAGTGTGCTCTCTCAATGCATTCCTGAGTGAAGCTGAGCTAAAACAAAACAAACAAACACAAACAAAAAAAAAAACCCACACTTTTAAAAACTGTATTCATATTTAAAAGTGTATTCATTTGCTTGTAAATGTGTGGGGGTGGGGGACAAGTGTGCCAAGGCTCACAACTGAAGGCAGAGGGCAACTTTCAGGAGTTGATGCTCAAGGTCCTCAAGCTTCCAAGCCATGTCCTAATGCCCAGCGGACACTCTGTGTGTCCTGGGTGGTGTCTTCCTTCTCTATGTGTTCCTCGTTTTGTATGTGAGCTCCTCCCGAAGCTTTCCAAATGGTCACTACAGCTAGGACTCCATCACTGCCTCCCAGGCTCCATGGGTTTTGGTTTTGGTTTGTTTGTTTTTCCCCCACACTGGAGTAGGGGGCCAGCCACAGCAGCCTTCCTCTGCTGAAGGCTGTGGTAGTAATTCTGCCTTTCTCCCATGGCACAGAGACAATTTATCTCCCCGTCTGTAGCGAAGAGGGCAGAAGGATGGAGGGTGCATCATCTTTCCGCGTATGAAATGTTTTGCCACATGAAGGAAGAACCGTTAACATGCGCAGAGCTGCTTGCCCTGCCCCCTGCTGAGAGTGATAATAGAGGCAGCCACAAGATGCTTCTCCCTCCAGGCGAGCAGAAGTCCTGAGGCCCCAGCTGCTCCTGCTCCTGGTACTGGTACCGGCCTCACCACTCTCCTCTAGAGCTTTATCACTAGGATTGAGGTCCCTTCCGCTTGGACCATGTCACCATCACCTATGACCCTCAGTACCAACACAGGCTGCTGGCAGGATGAGGTCCCTGGAGGACCTGAGAGTCCCTTCTCCCTGGGGACTGTAGCTGACCGCCTTGAGTTTTCCACAGCTGTCTTGCTGCTTGGGATTTTGTATCT